ATGTCATCCCCTTCCATCCCCCCCATCAATCCCCCTTCAATCCCCCCCTTCAAACCCCCCTTCCATCCCCCCACCCTTCTATATTTACGACATTTGAGAGACCACTTTAAATCACTCATTTTGATTTAAAGCAGTATTTAGTGGTAAAGGGGCGTGGTCGCTGTGTGTATAAAAGGGGCGTGGTACTTGTTTAAAACTTGGCATGTCAGCGCTGGGAATTAAGGTAGCCCCAGGTACTTCGGTAAATAAAGAACGAGCCTTGTAAGTTGATCCCTTAGAATTTCACTGAAAGGTTTCATAACCATGTACAGTGTAACCCAAAAACAATAGGACTTAATTCAGGCCTTTTTTTCTTAAATTCATGTTCCACTATATTCCCATTTAGTTTCAACATATTTTAGCTAAATGAAAACCAAGCATAGATTTAATTTTAATAAATAAATTTAACTTCCAATTATACTTTACACATTAAATGTCAGTTATTAAAGAAAAAAATGTTATCCTTAATTTTAAACATTTTCATATCCATAGATTGGAAACCCAGCTGAGCCTGAAAACTAAACATTTGCTTTAAAACCAACTGAACTTAAAAATTATAAATAATAATAAAACCTAAAAAATATCCCATTAGTTTAACAGAGTTCCTCAATGAAAATTTGAGACGAATCGGTCAAGAAGTTCATAAGTTATGATCGGAGATACAAACAGACAAACAGAGACTTCGTTCACTTTAAATATATAGATGTTCATACATTTGACGTACATGACTGCAATGTACATGTACCAAGTTGGTTTGTTAGTGTGTGTTTAAACTCACGATGAATTGCGTGAAATGTTTGCATGAGGCACAAGGTTTATTTGCCCTTGCTGTAAGTGTATGTACTTAATGAGCCACATAAAGGAAAAGAGCAATAATCCTGGTTAATTAGGGCGTTGCTATATTTTACGGAACACTTTAGAACGAGCATGAACGCACAGGGGGAGGGGTGCATGCTATCCTGAAAATTCTTAGGAAATTCAGACTATAAACAAAAAATCTTGAAAACACAGGTCTTGTTTGTAGAAAATTTTAAAACAAATAATATATTTTTTTAGTCATGATGTACAAAGGAACCCTTTGACCTATTTGCCTCAAATTTTGATTGGGGAACTCGTTAGAACCACGGGAATATTCTTAGCTTGGATTTAAAAAGAGTTAAATAATAGGGAAAGTATAGTTTTCAGGCAAAACTAGTATAGTTAAGTTCAAACAACTGAATAAAAAGATGTAAAAAACTCCATTAATGTAAATTTTGTTCTAGGGTAATCTTTATTTCCCAACCTTTACTTAATAAAACCTTTACAGCTAACATCTATGGTTTAGAAAATATGGGTTTACGCTGTGGGTTTAAGGATATAGTTTAAAGTTTTAAAATAGCTTTAACCCTAAAATGCAAGATTTAAGGCATGATAAATAATATAATGATTTAATGACCGCGCACAAAAACACAAAAACTGAACTATGCAAATAAAAACTCGGTATTCTTAACTATTATTATACAACAAATCTGACAGAGTGGAAAAAAAAGGAATGATTAGAAAGAATTTTTACCATTTTCTTGATCGTTTTCAACAAGATTCTCTGTTTTCTCATCCTCATCCAGGATTGGAATAGCAAATGCTTTACTTTCTCTCTCATCCCCTGAACCTTCTTCATTCTGAAAAGAAAACTCTCAAGAAAATCTGTGAAAAGAATTTTTATAAAAATCCACAAACCTGATCCTGAGGTGCACGTTTCTTCCTGCTGTAGGATACACTAGATCTCACGTAGGATATTCCAATATTTACGCTCTTCTCTACTCTTCTTCCTTGTCTAAACAATCAAAATCATCAGAACTAAAAAAAATAATATATAAGATAAGACAAGATAGATCTTGAAAATTAGAGAACGCATGCCCAATTCACAGTACATTTAAAACCTTAAACTGATCAATAATGTGGAAAATATCGACATTTTTTCTGCATGCAAAGTGCTTAATTTGCACAATTTAATTTTTTGTCTGAAACGTAGATTCGCGTCACTTTTGAAGAGAATCCAGAATTGATCAGACAAGGCTTTAACGGGTACTGTTGTGAATCGTATATGCCACTCTATAAATGAACAGTGGCTTAAAATATTTTTTTTAATTAGGCGGAATCCTTAATAAACATAGTTTTTCTTGTCCTTAAAAACTTATCTCGCATTTATCATCTGCATTAAGTTTTTATCAATAATCAAATCAGTTAAAACCTGCTGTTTTCTAATTCTGCTAGGATAGGATCAATAGAAGACTCAGAAGTTGAATCTGTCACTGGTTCTGGTTCAGATTCTGGCTCTGGTTCAGATTCTGGTTCTGGTTTAGATTCAGGCTCCGACTCTGGTTCAGCTTCAGAACTAGGTTTCTCGTCAGATTTTGAAGGAGAGTTTAACTTAAAGTCATCAAAATCCAGGGAGCGTCCTTCAGCTGAGAAACAGAGCAGTCATTTATAATTGAACAAGGTGAGGTTGGGATTAGATTTAAACGCAAACGCGCCAAAAATCAAAAATAAAAACGATTGTTTTACAAAAATAAAAATTTTGAAAGTTAGGTTTTAGTTTATACATTTTGAAAGAAATCAACGTATTTAGAAAAGTAAAAGTAAAAATAAACTTACTGCAGGTCACATTAACATGAAACTGTTTTTTTATAATCCTTAATTCTGATGGTGAAAACCTGTGGCTATTTTTTGATCTCGTAGAATTCTTTGTAGAATATCAAAGACCAACGACATCAGGTTACAAATATTTCAAATTAAAAAGTCTGCTTAATTCCTTCAAGACCAATGAGAGGAAAGTTTTTACAAGTTGGAGAAATATTCTTCGGTCTCCAACCTACTCCTGCCCAGCTGGTTCCATTCACCTATATCAAAATTAATTTATATTTATCAATAATATTAACTAATATTTTAGATTTGAACATTTTAATTTTAATTTAATTTTAATTGTATAAATATTTATGACAAAGAATAGATTATAAAATCTTTAAAAAACTTAATAATGTCATATCATTCAAAAAGAAAATATGAGATTATATGTTCTCTATCATAAGGGAATTATCCCCCCCTTCCCATTAATTGCATATATGAATATGAATTGTTAGCTACAACTATCTTAGTTGTAAAATCTTGGTTATAGCCAATATCTATCTTGATACGTTGCTTGTCTGGGTGTCTGTTTGTTTGTATCCAAAAAACCTCGAAACGGCTGAACCTATCAAAAATATTTTTAGAAAATCCGCGAACTTCTTATGATTTTGTTTAACAATCTATACAAAGAGAAAATGTTCACAATTGAAGCACCCTGAAAGCCTAGTATTTAATATTTATGATACTATGATACAGACCTAGTTGAAGGGATCGTGTCGAATATGGAATATAGATAGTTTGACAATAAAGAACATTATGTAAGAAATTTATTTGGTAAAACCCAACGTTATTCTTTTAACGATTCTCAATTTTAATATATTTTTCTTCAAAAAAAAAATATATGATCAATATTCATTCAATGATCAATTTCTATGTTTGTTAATCTACAGATTAATTTTTATGTTTGTTAATCTGCAGATTAACTTTTATGTTTGTTAATCTGCAGATTAACTTTTATGTTTGTTAATCTTCAGATTAATTTGATCTTTATTCGATTTTCCGTGAAGCACAGAAACGAACAGCTAAATAGAAGCCAAGGAAATTTTGTGTTCAACCAATGAGAGAACAGAGAAATTGAGATCAAGCAGATTCTCCGTCAAATTAAAAAGTTCTCATTGAGGATATCGAGATCAAGGGATTTGGGATTCTGTTTTTAAGTATTGCTGTATCTTCAGTTTTCCTGTTGACTCAGTTAGCAAATTTATTGTGTTAACCTAGGAATGTCTGAGCTTGCACAGTTGATCATCCTGATTAAGGGGGGTCTTTAAAGCATGTATAAACGACAAACGTGATACGACACTTACCTTTAAAATCATTTCAATTTCACCATCATCCTTTAGAATTCTCCAGTACATGGTCATCTTCTCACCAAACTCCCTGTACACAATAATAATAATATAGTACATTGTCATCTTCTCACCAAACTCCCTGTACACAATAATAATAATATAATACATTGTCATCTTCTCACCAAACTCCCTGTACACAATAATAATAATAATATAGTACATTGTCATCTTCTCACCAAACTCCCTGTACACAATAATAATAATAATATAGTACATTGTCATCTTCTCACCAAACTTACTGTACATAATATTAATAATAATTTAGTACATTGTCATCTTCTCACCAAACTCCCTGTACACAATAATAATAATATAGTACATTGTCATCTTCTCACTAAACTCCCTGTACACAATAATAATAATATAATACATTGTCATCTTTTCACCAAACTCCCTGTACATAATAATAATTATAATATAATACATTGTCATCTTCTCACTAAACTTACTGTACATAATATTAATAATAATATAGTACATTGTCATCTTCTCACCAAACTCCCTGTACACAATAATAATAATATAATACATTGTCATCTTCTCACCAAACTCCCTGTACATAATAATAATAATAATATAGTACATTGTCATCTTCTCACCAAACTCCCTGTACACAATAATAATAATAATATAGTACATTGTCATCTTCTCACCAAACTCCCTGTATATAATAATAATAATAATAATATAGTACATTGTCATCTTCTCACCAAACTCCCTGTACACAATAATAATAATAATAATAATATAATACATTGTCATCTTCTCACCAAACTCCCTGTACAATAATGTACAGGGAGTAATGTTTTTCCATCTGATAATAAACTATTTTCCAGAAGAAATCCGAAATGCAGCAGAGGAAAAAATTGAAAATAAAGAGATTTAATATATTTCAAGACAAAAAAGGTCAATTTAAAAGAAATTGACAGGTGAAATAAACATTTTCACATTAAACATGTAATTTTCAAAATGGCGCATTTTAAAATTTCTCATTTAGAATAAAATGGCGTCCATGTTTTACCTCTTTGTGTAGAGGCCGGTATTAATGTCCTTCTTGTTTGAAACCGGAGACCGGATACTGCAGCCAGGTCCAAAGAATCCAAGACGACAGAAACATTGTTTGGCCGGCGCGCTAGTAGCCCGCACATCAACACAGCTTCCATGTCCGCCACAGTCTTCATCCTGAAAGGAAAAAAATATATAAACATGAAACCTGTCACTTCATGCCATTTGATAAACCAATTATTTTTAATTGATATCATTCTTAGTTTTGGATAGAAAAAGCAATATGGCAGCTGTCTCAATTTTTAAAATCTCAATAACGTCGTCTTCATTTACCTTGATGCATTCGTCTTGATACTGGCAGTAATCCCCGTAATAAAGCCGGTCACACCGACACCGACCTGAGTACGCTCTACCATGTCCGCTACACGTGTTCCTAAAATTGAAATTATGATTAAATAATTTTAAGTTATTTTCAGATAAGGTGCGATAATTATTTCGCATAAAAAGAGTGTCCGCGAAAACCCAATGTAAGAAAAATCCTAATCCTAAGTCTAGATCAGTAATATTCGATGTTTCTGTAAAGAAAATTGACAGAGAAATATAATTATTACCGATCGAAACGAACCAATTGGGATTTATCCTTTACCCCCCTTTCATTTTTGGTGCACACTCCCTTAAATGTGCATGTTAATTACCTGAAATCTTTATTCGAAACTATATCAACATCAGAACAAGAATAGAATTGATAACGCTTCCCCCACTCTCCAGCCTCACGAACCAATCTGTAATAACACACGTTCAAATCTCCTTGTCTTAAACAGCTGAAAATCATGTAAAGTCCAGAAAAAAAGAAAAGAAGAAAAAAATATACATTACTTCTCACCAAACTCCCTGT